CAGTCATTAAGACTTACTCGGATGCAAGAAGTATAACGGGTAACATATCCTGTATTTTTTTTATTCATGTAAAATTGTGATTATATGTACAAACATACAATGTACTGTAAAATACTTTATTTTAGCTGAATGAATTTTCACTGAAAAGACTTTTTTGGTGTTTTGTATGGAATTTATTTTCATTGATTTTTAGCAAGTTGAAAAATAGTAATAGTAAATAGAAATAGTAAAATATAGGAAAAAAGGTATATTCGCTGGATTTTATTTTCACTGAATCATTCTTTCAGCAAAAATAGAGAAAATTAATTCCAACTAAAAATAAAGAATTTTACAATATACAAATGACACATAATGCAATATTTTTTTCATCTGTTCAATTTTCTATTTCATACTTAGGTGTATATACTGATAGAAACATGTACATTTTTAAGAATGCAGTATTGTTATAATAATGTTGTCAACTTTTCTGCAGCGATGTTTGATGTGTCCATATGAAAAGTAATCTTCTTCCAGTTAGATTTGAAGCAACTTGTACCACTCTTGCTCATGTGACCAAAGACCTGACTATGCATTTATTTCTCTATCACCACCCTTGTTTTTTGTTGTCTCTATTTATCTTTTTTGATAGTCACAGTTTTTCACGTACACAGATTGTAATCGCAACAGCATACAGTTTTGGTTTGTGCATATGTAGAATACTAATTTGTACAGGATAATCATTTATGAACTCAGAGCTTGGCCAGGTGTCAGGTTTTTAATTTAAGGTGAATGGCCGTTTCACATGAAAACAGCATGGCTACTAATGACATGTATACTAACAGTGTGATGTCACAAAAGAGGTTTGATAACAATTAATATACTCACCATGTTTAGCTCTGTAGGCACATCCTAAACTAGCTGAGTTTGCAATGTCTTGTACATAGACAGGTTTATTGAACACGTCTGATAATACTTGTAGTAAAGCTTTGTTTGTTGAAGCGCCCCCGGTGGCAAGAACATGATGTGCCGTGTCTGCAATGTGAAATGATTCAAGTTAACTTTAAAGTGGGGGAGTCGTCACCTGCATAAACGGAAAACGCTTTTGTTTACAAATCAAAATCTACTGGTACCACAAGCTAAGTACTCGGCAAGTCTTACAATTGTGGTGATGCATGATGGGATATATCAATCCCAGAATTCAAAATCCAAAATGGTGGACCTACCTAGTCTATATCCTAAGTTCTCAGCATGCAGTCTTTTCGCAATAAACTGTCATTTAATTATTGTGATGCATGATGGGATATATCAATCCCAGAATTCAAAATCCAAAATGGTGGACCTACCTAGTCTATATCCTAGGTTCTCAGCATGCAGTCTTTTCGCAATAAACTGTCCTTCAATCACAGCTCGAATCTCAGTCTCAATCGGAAAGGAATCAACTCTCTTGTTATCACAATCAAATCGATGAATTCCGACAGCATGTGGTGTGATCTCTTGAACATCAAAATATATACCTCGGGAGAAAAAAAAAGTAACTAAGTGAAAACAAATATTAAATCTAAAAATTCAAAATCAAAATAAAATGATAAATCATTCATGATTTAGCAGCAATCTTTGAATTTCATAAATCAATATATCCTGAACAGTCAAGACTGATTCACTTGATTAAAATCAGCTTTTTATCTTTCTTGTTTTCAAGCAACGTGTTATGGTTATATTGTTGGACTTTCCATTAGTTTTACTGACAGGGTTGTATGGAAAAGATACAATTCCCCCCCCCCCTCCCCAAACCTGCTCACTATAGTTCAATTCTATATATCCCACAATCCTTTGCAAAATCCAATATGGAGTTAACAAGTTTCTTCCCGATACGAATAAACCAGCCGTATTGAATTCATGAAATACATCATTAAAGGGCATTGATCATTGTAACTTAAGTGGGTCCCATGCTTTGCATAGCAACAGACACACACATAGGTCAAATGAATGAACTGGTTTGATCAAGGTCACATTATGCAAAAGTTGTCACAACATAAAAAGTAGTTTTATTCAATGTACTTATAGTTTAAATGACTTATTTATAAAGAACCAACCTACCTATATTGCCATGGTTACCCATCGGTGACGCATTGAGGTACTGTTCAAATTTTCCCATGAACCATCAGCACACTTATTTCTGATATTTTCTCTTGTTAATGAACCATTTTTAAAACTTATTTAAACAAAAAAATCAAAAATATAAACATAACAAGTCATTGTCAATGACACGTCCCCGTTCCGTTCATATTTGAGTGACATATACATTCAAAGCAGATCATGACCGAAATGCACCTGCATATGTACAACACATTGTGCTAAATCTGAACAAAATCCATCCATGCATGACTGAGATCCGGTTCTGGAATTGTGAAAATACGTGATTTTGATGCATTTTCGGCCTTAAAATGGCCATCATTCCACTATTGTTAAGCAGATCATGAAACAAATGCACATATCTATTTGTGACATGATGTACCATGTGTGTGTGAAGTTTGAACTTGATCAATCCAGACATGTCTTGGATACGGATCCAGAACTGAATTCTTTAAAACAAAATGGCCGCCAGTCGGCCATTTCGAACCCGATCCAAAAAAAAAAATGACGTGCATCAAGGTCCTATTATGTTTAATGTATGTACCAAATTTGAACAAAATCCATCCATGCATAACTGAGATCCGGGTCCAGAATGGTGAAAATGTGCGATTTTGATGCATTTTCGGCCTTAAAATGGCCGCTATTCGGCTATCGTTAATCGGATCATGAAAAAAATGCATGTGCATATGTCCCATATAAGGTGTGATGTATGAGTGAAGTTTGAACTTAATCGGTCCATGCATGTTCGAGATACAGGTGATCACGGACGCACGGACGCACACAGGGCAAAACATAAGTCCCCGTTTTCGGACTGCGTCCGAACGGGGACTAATAAAAAAATTTGTTGTTTTTAAAAAATAAACTGGTCATCTGAAGAATAATTTAACATTGTTCACAGTGATAACAGCTCATTCTCGAAAGGAAGCTTACCCGCTCACGCTAGTCACGATAAAAATCATACACGTGTACTCTTGAATAGACAAACGTCAATGACTACGGTAAAACTTAGACTCTATTTTAGCCGGCAGGATTGATTGAAATGTCCGAAAAATGACGCCAAAATACACCTTAAAAGTCCCATTTTATTTTCTTAAATCCCATTTTATTTTTTAATCCAAGGGCGAATTTACGGCAGAATTTGGTCCCTCAAATAAGGGACACGTGAACTTTGATTCTAACCGGATACATTGCACTGGGTCGGGGAGATACAACAGAATTCGATCAAGCTGCCTCACCCAAGTAGCTGCGACATTACGTTATTAAATTGTAACAACCTTAATTTAGTTACATTAAAGCTTAGTGGCCATCGGAGTCGATACAATAATGTATAGAGAACACACGATATTATCCCACATTCACACATTTAGCTCCGTGTCCAACTGATTTCAAAACGACGAATCCTATCATGTGAAACGCATTCATGCATTTTTGTTTTTGTCTTTTCCCAGAAATGTCATTGTTCAGAACGATTATAATGCATTGCAGCAGAATATAATCATTGTTTTTATTCGAGACTGCTCAAACCTACATGTACCCCATATGAGGTCGGTCTCCAAGGTGCGTTGTAAATTATGTGAACGTCCGCCAATGCGTGACGTGA